GCAAGCCTTTTGAAAATGGCCTTTTCTCCACTGACTTGCGTATAGCATCGCGAGCCGGGCATTGAGAGCGTGGATGACGTGCATAACCACAGAAGAAACAGTGAGCAGGTGATAGCAAGCGGAGTAATAAGAGGGGGCGGTTTCTATGGGCGCACACTGGGCATCGGATGCAATTCCGTACATGTGGCTGATAGAGTGGTCAGCTGGCCCACGAAAGACATCCGATTGTTTCTGTGCCATTTCCAGTGTTTTCGCTTGGTCGACCGCTGTCTTCAAGTCCAGCGTCTTATGTTCCAATAACGGCTGGCGAATAGGATGTGATAGGAGTCCAGTGATTAAGGCGTCTCGCACGTATTCATCCCTATGTTGTTCCGCAGTGATAATCTGGAACTTGCGGCTTTTGCAGATACTGTTTCACGAATTGACTGACGTCCTGCTTGCAAGTGGAAACCATGTGACCTGCAAAAACTTCGTTTTTCGGTTGTATGTATAGAGATTCAAGTTTGGCAATGGCAACGTCATATTCCTGGCAATCAGAAATGGAGCGATAAACAGACAGGGCAAGATAGTTAACCAGTATCTTCCGTTTTTCAGGACAGAGGTCGTTAATTGAATCCAGGAAATTGCTCAAGGTGCGAAGCGTCGGAGGCATCTGGTGAGTTAGGATCGGCGGCGAAACGTTCCAGTCGAAGGAAGCGTTCCATTGTCGCTTTGTCAGATGACTGCCTCCTCCATTTCTTGGGCCCTACTGGTCTCCGCTTTAGTTCGTGCCCAATAGTCCGTCTGGTCACATAGTGCTCAGAGCCAGCCGGGAGTTTTCTTCTTGGATTCCAACAGGTTCACAGGTTTAACCAGTGTCTGCTGCAGTACACGTTAGCTGAGGGTGAGAAACAGACCTCAACTAATGTGCCGCAGTACAAAACGATAAGAGAGTAAAAAAATTACATTGCGACAAAAATTCTAAGCAAGTGACATAATGTTAACTATTATATTGTGCTTTTCGTATCCAAAGCTCTATCCACCATGCTCGTTGCAGCAGATAGGGCACCGTCGATTATCCTATGCGACGGCCAGAGCATCAAGAAATTTTTAGAAGAATCGTTCATTGTATTGCGTGGGCAGAATACTACCAGGTTGCCCAGGTCTAGACAGGAGAACGATTAGGATCCCCAACCAAAACTTTTGATTCAAAAACCTTACCGCAAGGCAGCGGGGTTTTGGCACTGCACTACAGAGAGCCCGTTTTATAGAGTAAGGAGCCACTCTCCCCCCCAACCTGGAGGGCCAGGAGAATGAGTTTGTCTGGCCTCTAACCATTGACCAATCTGGTATGAGTGGCTCTGAGGGTGCAATAAGCACAACCCAGCATAACTCAATGGATCACTGAGGCACACAAACCATCGTACCACGTTAAGGTCCAGTCTCGTTGCGATGGATTGCCTGGTGCGGTGACGATTGATAGTGCCGCAGGCAGAGGCTGCCGCGCCATGTATGGCGGCCAAGATCCTGTTCCACTGAAGCCCATTGTCATTAAGACCGGAGCGAAAGTTTGGTATGCAGTGCATCCTAGTAGGTTTGCCTTACCGAGTGCTGAGGTAACTTCTCAGTCGCCAATCGAGGGGACACGTGATACGCCTCGGCTAAGTTCATGGTTAAATGACTGCATACCAATGCAGAATCAAAGTAAACGCAAGTATTCCAGAACGAGCGACAATCCATGATGGAACTACATCATCTGTAACTTACGACAACGTGCTCTATTTGGTTCCATCGCTGGCCATCTACAGGATAACGCCAATTATCACTTCGACGCCTATTCTATCTAAAAGCGGTGCTACTGAGAAACAGCTGGTGCTCTGCGCATAGTTGTAACAGACGCTCGCGATTGTCCGTACGGCCGGAGTTATGTCCGTATATACTACCTGGCTGAGCTTCTGGAGAACTCAGATAGCCTTATTGCGCATTCCTATCCTCAGCACTGATAACACTGCGTGGTAGCGTGTTCAGTTCGTAGTAGAATGTGCTCTTCGCAGCATCGGAACTGCAGTCGTTGAGAGCATAAGCGAAAACCACAACCAAAGACTGTCTTGTACTACTTAGTGAATCAACCGTAGTTGATGTCGTCAAACAGACTGCACACGAACGGCTGCTCACAAGAATCCAACCAACCAAGAATGACATCCTTGGACTTGAATACGATGCCCACCCCAGCTTGACCAGTGGTTGCCGCACCAGCGTCTCTAGATGCGTGCCACTAAGCCGGCTGGTGGCCGAGCGATCTGTGCGCCTGGTTTGCAACCATGAGGTCACCGGTGCGAATCCGTGTAGGGGTGAGCGTCCTCACGGTATATTCAGTCCACACGCGACTAGTGGTGATCGCGTGACAGCGAAGCGCCGTTACGGCGTACAGAAAGCAATCTTTTTATTCAACAACCCCGTGCGGGTTATTGATCCTAGTTTCCGACACACAACACACGTCAATACCCAGGGTATCCTATATGCACGCGAGTGCAGCTTGTTGATCTATTTGTCTTAGAGTGCGAACGTTAAACGCAGCCAACGAAACTAGACAGCGTAGCCTTATTAAGGGTCCGTTGGCGATAGGCGTCCAGTGGGTGGTGCGGGAAGTTAGCTGCAGATGGTGTGACTCCAGTGACATTGTGGCTGCTGCCAATTAACCTGGGAATTATGGGAGCAGGATTGGTCAGGAAGTCGGGAGGGGAGTAAGAGAAACAAGTTGAATAGAGAGAAGGGAGGCACCAGAAGTTTTCGCTTGTCCACCTTGTTTTATGCAGCAGGTAGGCCAATCCTTTATAATCTGCTCGACGGCCGATGCAAGATGTGGTTGGATTTTGAGTAGTCATGGTTGTACGTGGCTTGATATACTGCCAGAGCACCCTGCGACCTGATCAGAATTGCACAAATTAGCTGGACGAAGCAGAATTTACCCACTTTGGCATGAACCATACTAGACGTAATCCCTGGCAGGGCTGGCGTAGTTTGGACCGAACGGTACGTGAAGGCCGATGAATATAAGTAGACGACATGGGAGACAACAACGACAAACAGCTACTGGAAAACTGCCACAGTGAAATAGCATTTCGAGTTTATAATGCCTTGGCTCATGCATAACGAAGTGTGATCGCCGACCAGCCGTTTTGACTCTCGGAGGGCCACTCGATAAGACCACTTGAAGAAACTCTCATACGAAGTGGAGAACCTAGAAAGTCCAGCTGACAGAGGTTCTCCTGATGCTAGGGATGCTGTCAGTAGCTACTGGAACTGTGAAGTACGACATTGAGGGGCACCCTCGCTTTCATCAACCACACCTTTGGTGGACTGCACTTGTTGTTCTTATTCCCTTCGATAATCACCGCAGGTTGTACGAGAACGAAGCACTGCAACGAAATGTCTTTGCAATGTCTAAAGGGGCAACATATAAATGATGGGTCGGTCAGGCTCCGAAGTACTTTCAGTTACCGCCTCGTCAGATAGCAAACGCTGAACGCGAAGCATCTAAATGTACAGAAAATTACTGTATAAAGTAAGGTACAATCGGGGTACTAACGAGATTCAGTGAAGAAGTTACATGAACTCCCAATGTGAAAGCTGCCAGTTGCGATTTGTTTAGGATAGCCTGAACACGATGAACTGCGACAACTTACTATAATTTGGAAGAAAATCGTGGATGACCAAGCTTGAAAACGATAGTGTGAAGTCGACTAGCGACAACTAAAACTGGACGAAATGAACAGCTCATTCCCACGACATAATGACGATTCATTGCAATGATAACCGCGCGTGCTCAATGTTTATTATTTTCTTTTTCTCTTACTTCCAAACATCATTGGGGTAGAATGTGGTATTATTCCTCTTCGTGTATTTGTCGTTGCACCTACACCTATCATACCCGTTACACTTTTAGCTCTCTACTCTATTCATGGACGATTAAAGCCTTATTTCCCATGTCTTGATTCCTCACTCTGTTGTCTGTCTCTGACTGGAGTGACAGCCCGTATAGCAAAAGCTCGAGGCGCTTTCGGTCAACTTGGCAGTCTGTGTCGCAGGTACGACGTCTGTCTCGAGCTGAAGGGCAGAGTACAATGCGGCTAGTCTTGGCTGACAAACGTAAAGAGAATAGTTGCTTTCGACCATCAGTCCCTTCGCATTTTGACTCGTGTTTGGTGGGAGCGCCACATGAACAAAGAGCGTGTTCGGTGCGCGAGGACTAAATCAACCGCTGAACGCCGTTATTTCATACACCAAGCTCCGACAGCTTTGTCTTGTATCTTGCATGCCAACACATGGAATCCCGCAACATTCGTTGCTTGCGCGACTGTGGTCTAGACAAAGGAAGAGGAGGAGAGGCCAGCCGGAGAATTGGGTAAAGAGGAATAAAGACTCTCAGTTGATTCCTCCCGACTCTCGAGTCGAGATGCGAAAGACGATAGACACGTTTAGTTGGAGATAGTCGTTTACATGGTGAGGAGCCGATCTCACTGGCATGTCATGAGTTTCTTTGCTCATCCTTCTCCTGCTTACCCTCTCTCTTCAACCCATGTCCCAATATCGATGCATAACAAAGCGTAGTATTATTTGATTTTCGGACTTTATATTTCTATTTTCTCTTTTATAACCGTGTACTGTGTTGCGGCACACTAAGTGAGATATTTCTCACCACTAGCTAACGTGTGATTATATGGACTCCCGTAACGCAGGGACACCACGTCGCGCTAATTGTTGCCATGGCTCTTTCGTTCAAGAGTATATTGTTGGTTCGCATCTCCGATTCAAGGAACGACACTGCTTGGTCTATTGGTCAGACAACCGTTTGATGGTGAAAATTGCACTATCACATGTGCTTCGTGCACCTTCGTAGCACTACTTAACCCTACTGAAGAACGAATCTATATGATCGATGCAGCTACTTCATAAGGTTACGAGCGTTTCCGGTAGTTCAGACTCTTGCCGTCCGGCTTTATCTCCTTTTTTCGTACTCGATGGTTGTAGGCAAATCGAATGGAACACCCTTTTTCCATCTAATTGTCAATCGCCGTTGCTATGAATTCTTGGAGATTATGTTAACGCGACCGCAGCTCGGTTTGTAGAGTTCATAAAGCTTAGCAACCACCTCAGGGTCAATGTTGATGGGGTACTTAGAACTTGATTTTCGCTAAGCACTATACTATATCCTAGCTTGAGACCGTTTAAGTTGGCCCGCTCGTCCTATTTAACCCGTGCCACTTTGTTCATCACAATTTAACTCTGCATGAACCGTACGGGGATAATTTTTGCTCTATCAAATTGGGCATTTTTATCTGCTCTTGCTGTACACTGAATACTACCGTTGACTGTTGTGTATGCTTGCGTCCAGCAGTGGCTGGAAGGATAAGGCATCTGCTTTGTCATCCAGACGTCACTAGTTCGAATCTGCATTCATGTGGGCGATTTTGCAGTGTTTCTAATCGGTGCACGGCTAGTGATGGTAGCTGAGGGTCGATGCGGCGTACTGTTGATGTCTTTTTCTGCGTTACATGGCAGTCTACTGATGTTTACCGAACTCTCGGGGACCCTTTCATCATTCTTTCTCTACGTTGCCTATTCTTTCTCTATTTTTAGTCCCTGTATACCAACCAAATCATAGTTATTTCTGTCCCAACAGATCTCTCATGAAGCTCTTCTCACACAACATTCTTACATCGCGGGTGTTGAAGTCTGTCAAGGTGGGCTACCCCTTGGCTTTGAAAGTGCGTCACGCTATTTCCCTTTACAGATCCTGCAGGTCAAAAACTTACAGGTCAACACAGTGGACTTCGATGCCGCTTATATATCTAAATTGATTCCGAAAGTTGAATGGGGTGTTCTCAAGAAAGTGTCAGATCAGGTACTGCCTTCAATGTCCCTAAATCGTGTACATCTTGCAGATTGGTCAGGAGCATATACCACCCTTGCCCGATGAGGTACCTGCGGATTATGAGACAAATGAATGCTTTTTAAAACTTGCTCATCGTGCACTGTTGGAGGTAGACATTCTAGAGGGCGCCTTAGTCTGCCCCGAGACAGGTCGCGAATTCCCCATCTCGGATGGTATCCCCAACATGTTGGTAAATGAAGGAGAATAAAGGTTCTTTACTCACTGTTCGTCCTCTGGTTAAATTTGGGCCGGGTGCGGTTATTTGATTCGTATCTACAGACGACCTTATTATGTTGATTTCCCAAACTTATTTGTTCACACCGTTGTCAACACATTAGGAGGCAGTCGCGCCTTTCTTCAACTAGGAGGTCTCCCTTTACCGGTCGGTGCGTGAACTCTCAACCTTTTTATACACTCCACCAGTGATTTGGTTGTAGCTGTCTCAGTGTTATGTAAAATTGTTAATATCTTTAAGCTCTAGTTTTGTCAATTAATTGTTTTCTAATACGTTTATCGTTCAGGAATCCATTAAAACTTCTTCCTAACCCAAAATGTATTTTCCATTAATCATCTGGAGTTTACGCGAACGTTTCGTATATGCGTCCACGAGGTAACGTCGCGCGACGAAAAGTATGATATGTCAACACTCGTTTCTTACATCGTCCCAGACGAAGATCGTCCACCTGATATGATACTTGATATATCGGTTTTTCCGGGCGGATACCAACTGATTTTCCTTACTTCGTCGGGTTGTCTGCCATGTGTTGGGCCGCATATATGCGGCCGCTGTTTTTCCAGTGTTTTCTCGACAGATATTCCATCATCATGTTTAACGTATAGTGGAAACAAGGGACTAGGACCTAATTTAATTATCCTGAGTGAGAGCTTTTACTAATTCCTTTCATGAACCTGTGTCTCATGCGAAACTCCAGCTGGACGGAATTTGCCGAGTATTGTCCATCAGCAGAACTAAGTGCTTCTAATTCCATGTTGACCGATGAGTCAATGAAATATTCTGGATTTTTATGTACAAAAGTAACTCGTGAGATCGCACATGATTTGCTGTAGAAGGCATACTGATAGGAAAAACCAGTGACATTTCTGTTTCATGCATGGAGAGAGATATTGCAGTAGCACCGCTGCATATAACCTGAGCAGTTGTTTGATCATTTGTACTTGTTTATCCGACGCAGCTGCACGTAACACAAAATGTAAAAAACCACGGTGATGATTGATTGTCCGAACACGTTACTCCACAAATCCCATGCTGTTTCGTAGGGGATGTCCTGGTCACGCAAGTAGAGCGTACCCGGTTGGCTGAAAAAGAAATTAAACACGTCATCAGACTGAATTCTCTCGTAAAATGATTTATTACTTGCTTATTTGCTTCAATTTTAGCAATACCTCGTTTCTCGCCTTCAAATTTATCATGTTTCGAGGGCCTTCTTAGATGCCTCAGAGTTCTTCGACATCCCTTCGTTTCAGTTTTTTAAACAGTACTGCATTGATTTGCAGCGTTGTCGACAAAACTTAGTGTAATGAGTTACCTTCCTCTGTCTCTCGCTGCGGATGGCAGATAGGACAATCAGGCAACAAGCCGGAGTGTTTTTACACACTGTACCTTTGCCTTAACATGCTCGAAGCAAGTAACGTTGATAATTAGTACTTACCTTTAACCCGTTAAGTAGTGTAGCACTTTCGATGTCAACAAGCCCATTCAATCTTCGCTTTCCGAGAATCAAAAGCCATGCGCACCTTTCTGAACCTAAAACCTCATTCAGGCACCACCTTTTATTGTATAGGTTGTCTTCTTTCCCTGCTGTTATACATTAACCAGTGTATGCGTCGTTGACCAGCAGTACGTAGGGGCATCATGTTGTGATCATGTCTTAACTGACCTTCTCACGTGGTTTCAACCCCTTCCACCGAATACACGCATTTTCATCTCAACGTACGCTAACTTTGCAACAGAATTGCTACTGTTGCCTTCAGCTTTATTAACGAATCATCCGCCGCTTCATCGAATGCATCTTTAAGCCCTGGATACATCGTCCACGATAGCTGCAGGATGTCTTCTGGGGCAAGTGCTATTTCGAGACGGCGACATTTATTCATCCGATGAATGAACTCTCACAACAACTGCATCAGTGGCTACCAATGTCACGGGAGTTTACAGCTTGCCGTTGAATCAAATAAAATGCATATTCAGGTTGACGGGATAAACGCAAATAAAGGTTGTTTTCAGCCTCCATACGAAACTTACCATTGCCGGCTATCCGAATGAGTGATGGTTGAGGTGTTTGTCATGGGACAGAAGATGAGGGGTCTCATTTCCGAGATAAGGAGGCCTCCCATACTGTATCGGAATATGGATAGATAACGAAGCCAATTCAGCCATCGGGCCATGGACTTCAAATTGATTAGGTATCCTCCAAAGACCTGTTGCGATCAATAAACGAAGAGATAGTTGACGGTAGCATATACCTAATTTTGTTTTATTTGGTAACAACGATGGAACGGAACCACAGTTTGTCTTATTTTTACTAATTGGTGAATAATAAGGGTATGGTGTTCGAGGGGTGACCCTGTCTGGTCTCGGGATTCTTGGCGATTAAAACTAAGTCATCCGTAACATCTCTTGTTTGAATATTGTGTCTTATTGATTACAAACGTGGGAATCTTTGTTCGCTTACTTTTTTAAAGTATTGTAAAGGTGCCTAAGTCACCGTAGACGGATTACCCAATTGGCGCATGTCTTGAATGCACGTATTTTTACGATGGAACCGTACGAGCTCTGTGTGGTTATTTCAACCTCTATCCACTGGTGCTATCCTTCGTCCCAATTCCGAACGTGTTTTCTGCTCATTTCCCCTAGACGAGTGCTACAGTTGAATCTGTTTTGTCCTCTCATGGCCTCGGGACGCTGTTTAAGTCTGTTCTGGAAATCGGTGACCACAGGGCAGTATGTGTCTGTAAAAGTTCCTCATTAAATACAATTTTTCTTCTGGTTTCTGCACTCTGATTTGCTCAACCGAACACTTCATCTCCTGTAAATTCCCAGTTTTTTTCTCCACAACTTTGGACCCATGAATGCAAGCCAGATTTCGCTTCACACGGATGATCCGGCCCCAACATTCCTCCTGCACACTCATGGGTACTTACACTGATCCGTTGTTTCTCAATGAATTATCGTATTTTTTGTGCTGACCCGTGTGCAAGCGCTCGATTCGGACTTCAACTAAATACACCCGGTTTTCAATAACCCACCCACCTAACGCATTTGCTGGCGGCAATTACATGTGAGATCGAGCCCAGGGTGACGTTATCGCATGAGTCTCCTTGGACGGCTCACCCTCCGTTCTTACAGTTATTCAACAAAGCTTGAAATGTGATTTTAAATGCAGTGTGAATTCATCGTTCAAAAGCACTCCTCGATATATCGATTGCCACTAGAAAGTGTAGTTTCTACCTCGAGGACCTAGTCATACAGCTCCGCTCAGTTCAGTCAAACAACTATGGTTTTGGTATCGAGGTGCGGAGGACCATGTTGCCACTGCTTGCCTCCTCAGGATAACAATAGATTACGGTGATAAGAAAACGAGATTGAATGCAAACAGCATACTAAGGATATGGAGTTAATGACTAAGTAGAACTAATCGGTATGGAATAATAGCAGCTCGACGCAAGTAACCGACTGCAGGAGCGCACTGACTACCGTGTCCGATAGAGCCTCCAACTACTTATGTGGGCCATCCCGAACCTCCGGTCCACGAATACGGCGCGCACCAGCCCGACCAAGTCTTTCAGTCAATTACTTTATGCCACAACCCAGACCGGCCACGCCGCGGTTTCACCCGATTAGATGCAGCCACGGTTTGAAATGCACGCCGATGAGGGTGGTCAACGATTATACGGAACATAACCAAGCCAGCATAAGTTATTAAGTTTTAACACACTCGATTAAGTAACACACACAATATCGCAGCGTTATATACCATACCTTTCATTGACCGGCTGCTATTCCGCCGTCCCCATAGGTGGTTGAGCCCCTGAAATGCCACACGGGCCTTACTGATACGTCTGATGACTTCACAGAGATGGGACCAACAGAGCTGATACAGCTACCAAGGTAGATGAACCGACCCACCATCAGTGGCTGATAACTGGAACCGGTCGCATGTTCGCTCAATAATTTGCACTTCGAACGTGCAAAACGCATGCGGCACTACTCGTTACTCTATTCAGTACAGCGTCTATAGCCAATGGGTCCAAACCAAAAGGAGTTATATCCTCCGCATCCTCAACATTCACTAGTCGCTCACTTGGCAAAACCTCCACTCTAAAAGAGACTTAAAGAACGGAGCCACTATCACTTTAAACACAAAGTTGATATGGAATAATCCCACTTGTCGTAGAGAACTCAGGAGACAGTTTCCTGCGGATCCTTACCCAAATTCGGCAGTCGGACTAAAGGGAATTCCGAATGGGTAGGAGTTTTTCTTGACACGCCTTTAACCGATCGGCAATGCCACAACAGAGTAGATGGCGGATTTCAGGTCAAGGAAAACCGTTATGGCTGTCTGTAACGGTGTCTCTACCCCAATGCTTGGCGGATATGCGGTCAGTGCAACAACTTTCAAAGCGGAAACCAGCCTGTCTTTTAGTTATTCGCCTCTCAGGAGGACCAGTAGATCGTCGAAAAATGATATCTATATGAATTTGGAGGCAATGGAAAGAGAGCTGATGTCTCGGTGATTTTCACAAAGACTGAGGACGAGCACGACAGTTGCCATTCACCCAATTGAAGGCATCTTTTCTGTGTCCCAAATAGTGATGAACAGTACAGCATGTCCAGTCAACAAAGAGTCACCTCCATCTGTCAGCAAAGATGTAAGGAGGTCGTCAGGTCCGTGATTCTTGTTTCGTTTCAGCACAATAACTTCATGCCTAATCTTTTTCAAGATAGCAGGTGTGCTAGCAACTTCCTACGTCGGTCCAGGTGATTCAGTAAGAAGCAAGTCTGCTGGATTACCCTTCGTAATGTTCCGCCTACCGAGCTAGTCGACGCGGTTGGATATGAGTCAGTTATCCATCTCCTGAGGCGTTGTTTCGCTAAAGTGAGGTTGTCTTAGAACCTTGTTCCGAAACTATTCTACTGTTCCTACTAGCACTGACTTTCTTCATCGTACCATCCCTTGTCGCCCATCATCATTTTCGTCTATTCCGAGACTCCTCTTCAGTCGTTTTAGGGCACTACGGACACGCTGAAACTAAGTGCCCACTGGAATATGTCCCCTCGCTGCAATCAAAGATCCACTCACTGTTAGGACATTTCAAGTTGAGTTACAGTGGACGTCGGAAACACTTCATGGTACACGTGAGACGATTTCAGTCAGCATTCGTTTCATCAAATTCATTCATTGCTGACGACTAGTGGACCAGCCGGTCGTGATATCGTTGCATTGCGAATGGCGAGTTCGAACTACAGGCGAGGAAACTTAGCGTTAGGCGTGCGCGCATTGGAACATGTTCGGGATCCAGGCACATATTCCAAATTAACCGAGAGACTTGAACTTATTTGCCTCATCTGAAGCGGATAGCACTATGGCAAATTGAGGTCCAGATCATTAAGGAATTCGGTGGGCGCCAGCTGGCACGATGTGAGTGTTTGTATTCGGATGTGTTGTTGCCAATGTTAAACTTGTGGTCAGCACATATTTGTAAGTGTCGTTCGTCGAGCATCGGTTTCGAAACGGCCTACCGGTGGCTTAGTATCCGACGGGCGCTTCACTCAGGCACTCACGTCACCGGCAACAATCGCGACATCCGTGTTTTTCGCGCTACGGATAACTGATGAGATCTAACGATGAAATCCGTCTTTCAAACCTTCCGGATTGCGGTCCGTGGGGACAAACAAACAAATCAAAGGGTACCATATCTCCAATATAGGTTGGAAGTTGGACCGCATAGATGAGGCTGCTGACTGGTATCGAGTCGAGTAGATCGACTTCAACATGTTTGCTGAGGGCGATGTCGAAGCCATAAATACCTTGGACCATTGAATTAGTACCGCCAGAGACGCGAACATTATGTTCATTGTCTACAGATAACCGGGAATCGATGATTAGTCACGACTTTGTCGTCTTGTATGCGTATCTCGGAGACGCAGCGCATATCAAGAACAAGAGAGTGAGAGTTGGCGCAACCTGTTAGTCGATCTGACCTAGAGTGCGAGCGTTAACTGAACTGATGTGGAATGAGACCCTTGGTTTGTAGGACGAGTTACATGTATTGAAAGCGTCAGTTACAAAATCGGCGGCAGTCTCATGTTTAGTAAATGGGGAGGAAGAGAGTTACAAGAGGAAAGAAAAGGAAGAGGAAACAAGGAATGTTGAGGACGGGGCCGATTCCGGGGTTTTGTTCGAGGTGCTCTACCTAGACCCTTTGATTCAATGGCCTGAGTCTCAAGGCAGTGTGAGAGAATCCAGCTTGGGAGTGTGATTACAGAGACCTGTTTGGATCTGCTTGAGGGCCCTTGAATATTTAGGACACTTCGCATGTATTTTTCGGCCGTATTATGTTACGCACCAGTGACCACGACCAACTGCAGGTAGGAGTTGGCGAGTTTGAACCCGTTTGATCGAGGCTGATTTTCTTGGGGATGGTGGCAGCAAACGACTAGTATCGGTTAGTGCTCTTCCGCTGCCGAAGACTGCTTGGCAATCGAGCTGTGAGCGTATTGCTCTTCCTGTTGTCTCCCATAGCTGTTGTGTAGGTAGGGCCATCGATCTCTTCCAACTCTCTGAAGAGGATTCTGGGGATTTTTCCGATCCCTAACTCTTGGTTCATCTGGTATGAGTGGTTCTGAAGGCGTTCGGAAAATTTCCAGCGTAGATCACTGCGCCACGGTCCGCAAACCGTCGTGTGACGGGGCCTTTAAATCGACCTTTGCCTTTTCACTGGAACATCGCTTTTACTATACCTGCTGCGGATTTATCAATTTCCACTGAGTTTTGACATTTTCTTTTGTTAGAGCAGTTACAAAGTCCTTAACGCTGACCCTGCCGGCTTTTGAAAATGGACTTTGAGATACTGCGCGAATCACGCGAAGTTACCAGTAGGTTTCGTAATTTAAGAAATCCTCGTCCGGATCGATTGCAGATTCGGGATCGTTTATTTGATTGGCACATACACTCCTAATGCCATTTTATTCAGTTGTAAAGTTTTGCGTTTTTAATGTTGTTACTTTAACATGCATGCATGCATGTTGTAAAATACTGAAACTGTACACTCTGGGGTATATAAACCTTATATTGACTTGTTAAGGTCCAGTCTCTTCGCGATGAGCCTAACAGTACGGAACCCGGCATTCTATGTGACATGAACGTCTAATCGCGACTTCTTTGTTATTTTTGTGGCTAATGGGTGATGTACTCGTGCTCCTTGCCGATGAAACTGCTGGCTTGTTCGGCACTATCTTGACGTTGTCAGTGTTGGCTATCTACTCAGTTATCGTTTAGTTTTCGGCTGGTCTCCGCTAGCCACTCATGTTCCTATGGCGTGTCGGCTCAATGTTGTCACCCTTTTCGGAGTAGGTGAAATAGACGTTAGCCCCATATAGCTAAAATCTGGCCATCCTCTTGTTCGGTAACACCGACGCGACGCTGATGGTTGACCGTTCGTATATACCAGACGCCCGAAAGCCCCATATAGTCCGGTTTATAAAATCAGATTAGCCGTTGATCATCAATAGCAATGCATTCATATTATAAGGGTCTGCATACCGCGAGCAGCGTAATTGCATATGAAAGTGATGGGATATCAACAGGTGGGTTCTTTATTACACTTGAGTAATACACGTGATGTTTTCGCATTCACCTATTAATGTGGTTGTCTGCAACCATAAGGCGCCTGTGCCTACAGAGCGGCCATGAGTAGCGCTTGCGCTCTACCACTCACTTCGTATACCTAGTTTAAATCTGGATGGAGTACGAGGGTATGAACCGCAGTTGTTTTACAGTCATTTTATCACTACGCGCCACTAGTCGGCAGGTTAATCCGCGCGCACCCGTTCTTGATAGTCATGTCAGTGAAAGAGTAGCTATCTTTTCATGGGGAAGTGCGTACTGTTCTAAAGAATTGCCCGTCATATTGGAAGAGTGGATATCGGTTTGCTTATTTCAAGTGGTCCGGTGCGGTAATATGGTCAATGTCGTTTTATGAATCAGGGTTTCAGGTACCAACAGCCTCCTCTGGTCATCAATTCTAACGGCATGCATTACTCGTGCTTGATAGAACCATCAGATGTTGGATCTCATGAGCCAACACGATGGTAATGTACAGGACCGAACGACGCAATGATTCGGTATAGGTCAGTCGATTTATGCTATTCGCGCACTTATCATCCGACTTTGATATCCTTGCACAAAATGCGTTCGACTTGTGACAGCTTTTGGTGGCCATGCGACTTCACCGCATCCAAGCACTATCATATCGTGCGGACGCTGTGCCGTGTTAGTCCTTACTGAGATTCGCGGCTTCCCTGCAGTCAGTTCCCTACATCCATCTGCTAATCACTAATCGTACCGTTTCTCCTGAATATCTATAGTTTCCTCTTCACCAACCCTGATGTTTGTCTGCGATGTTGAAGTTAAGTGGGGTAACCTGACTTATCACATATCTGCTTTAGGTTTACGATGCTGCGCGTACGTCCATACCTACACCAACCTTCCTCGGAGAAGCATTAATTCATGCGGGGCGTTACATGATTTCCCACTTTCACAGGTGTTAAGCTTATACCAGGAGAACAGGGGATCACAACACTTGTGTGAGTGAAGTCGGCGCTGAACCTCTCGCTGATGCCAGCATTCTGCATGACGTCACCTCCCTTTACTTTGTTGTCACAATACGATTGGATAGATGCCATTAGTTAAGCTTCTCTAATTCCTATACAAAGAAGCTAACCCTTGAAACCCTGCTTTAAAACTTCGGTATTGGGGAAGCCACCAAACACTCTGCATGAAAGTAAATGTCGCAGGACCACTCGCTTTAACCGGAAGGTCTATCATGTAGATGGACAAGGGAGAACGTGGACAGCAATTAAGTCACTTGATGGTGTGTGGAATGGTTTACTTACCATCATAAAAACAAACAGTATGGAGACAATCACGTTGGCGATTCCAAACAGTGTGAAGCTGGCGGAAATGAATAGAGCAACAGCAGCTGCGGCCAGTGTTGTCACGCTGAGAATGAGCTCAAAAATGAAAAACGCCGCGGCTTCCGGAAGCAGACCAGCCATCCAATAGCAGATGGGCATGAATAGGAGAACCGGAAGCACTTTGGTTGGTAGAATATCGCACAAGATTTTGGCCAGAAAGTAGGCGGATATCCGATAATAACCGCTGCTGTTTTCATGTCTGTAAAGAAAATAAAACGTAAGCTCGGCATTATTTCAAATAAACCTGAACTCTTCATTCTCAAGATGCGACTTGCAGCTAGTTTTTCTACAGCTGGGCTTGGATGTATTGCGTCTCCGGTTGATGAGATTTTAAGACCCTCCCCCACAGGCACGGATCATGGATGTGAGACGAGAGTGTTCGCTCCTGTATACAAGTTCTAAAGTCATGTTGGAACCAAGGTTCGATTAAGGCAACACAGCATGCGATGTGCTCCAATTCGGTCTATTGCATGCCGCTGTTTTCCCAACCCATGTTCATGCCGTGTATTGGAACCCGAACAAATATCAGCAAAGAAACACCCCATGATCGGAAGAATTTCGAAGGTGTTACGAGTGACAACTAAATGCTGGGTGTTTACTGCTGCTCACAACGCGGCACTCCATGACCGTTCTCGTACTTGTTTTCAATCGTCAAGTAGAGATGGCGGAATTGTGGATCGAACACAGGAGATATGGGCCGACATCTTCACTCTTAGCTGCGAGCAACGCTTGCTACAAGTTGTTCTCTTTCAATATGATACTTTAGTTCACAATACGTTGTAAGCCATAGCAGGCAGTCGAAATAATTTCCAGCTGCTTACGTTCATCTTTATACCATCATTTTGACGCAATCTCTAAGCAATGACACAGATTGAATATATCCGAATAGGTACAGTAAACTGGTTTCCTTATGGTCGTTGCTTGTGGCAGACACAGAATAGGTCTAGCCTCAGCTTGCGGCTTCTGATTAAGCCTGCTTGGGTGTGACTCAGGCTTAACCGGACCACCTCTTCATAAATATAGGGGATTTTACTCACATGAAGAGCACTCGCTCTTTGATGAACAATTCGATCGAGCCCAGATTGACAAACACCACTTGAAGGGTAGAAAAGAAAAACAGACCCGCACGATTCTGTATCCCAGATTCCAGCGAGGTGTTCATTTGAAAATAAACAACACCCATAGATAATGCGAAGAACAGGTACACCAGTGTTTGCACAATGGACGCCAATGGATCGCGCAGCAAATTAATCGATGTCCTCCAACACACTTGATGCATTTGACGCCAAAATGAGACGGAGTAACTGACTTCAGGCACCGAAGAGATTTTTCCATGGTTGTTAGTACCGGCAGCCTCCGACTGCAAAACGTTCGTGATAGCCGTCACCTCCTTGCTAATTCTGTGGAAATTCGGAACTGAGAAAGTATTCATTAGTACACAAGTCTTAAGGGTCATGAGGATCAAACTGTGTTGCTTTTTTGATAATGACAGTTTCACTAGATCTGTACACGGATCTTAGCAGCGTAAAAGGGAAGAGGCCTATACATAGCGACGATAGAGGTCAATTGCATGCTATGTCGCTGGCGGAATTTGTAAGTTAAGTAATAAAGACGCACTTACGTGCTTTTCAACATCGGGGTTGGACAAACGGCATTTCGGTTGGGAGGCATTTGGGTTATACCTATCCATGCGGAAAGGCATCAATATGACCAAATTTGGTTGTGGAAAACGGACTCAATCAATAAGCTATGAATCCGACTTGGTTTCAGTTACCCTAACCTGGTCCACAATGTTTTCTTCCACAGTGATTCTACATATGCCCAGAGGTAAGGGGAAGTTTTGCGCCTTATTAAGCTGTGTGGCTTATTTGCAGTGCTCTTGTTCAGCACATTTTTGTAGAAGCTCATGGCATTCCTGTATGTTGAAAAATATGACCTCCATCTCGCGCAAACGCATTTACTTTTTGTTTGAAATAACACTGAAACAGTTGGTTTGCGTTGGGATTACGTACATTAGCCTTGCTGGACTAATAATGTGCTCACAGCTCCGCATCTATAGTATTCGATCAGAGGTTTACGCTTGTGAGAAACGACGCTTTCCCCACATGAAATCTACTTGCTAGGTGCTTGGTTACCCACTCCGTGCATTTTATCACTTCCTTGAATTTGGTTGTCCCAGGGATAGAGGGCTGTTGAGGCGGCGTGTTAGTTGTGTCATACAAGCGTTATCTTACCTCTCGCACTCGGCCGACTGATCCCATTCCTGCACTAAGCGTTCTCCGACGAGGAGAATGTGTTCCGGTTCTTCCAGCCTCTCGCGCGCATCTAAAAGTAACGGATGGATGCATAAATTAGAATGCCCTGTGAAAGATAAGGAAGTCGTTGATACTTCTCAAGGAAAAAGAGCTTTATTGCCATGATCTACATCCGAATACCACTCGGTGAGGGATTCACAATTAGACCTACTTGCGCTGCCCGATGCGGTGTGTGCGAGCCATTTGGCATCCGTGATTTACAGGTTCAGAAACGCATTGGACCTTAACTTGGCCAGCCAGCCCGAACTACAGGCACTCCGATGTATTGCAGACAAGAGAACTTACTATACCACGCGAAATACCGATTGATGTGGCTACTTCTCAGTGAGTGTCTTACTCGAGCCATCTCTTCAACCAGATTTCAACGCACAGCTCGCTCTCCGGTCCCTCGCGATTCGTCGTGCCTCGGCGGACTTTACACAACAAGTGATTGGAATAAATTATTTCAAACATTACTCCAACAGATTCATTGTCGATAGAGAATTTTGGTTCCATTCACCCTACCGGCGCTTATGGGTTAGCAAACTTCGTTCCTTTCTACAGTTGTTGGTTTGTTGGTTGCTCTTGATTGACATGCGTCCGGTTGTTCTTGAACAGCCGTCCCGCCCACCCAGTTATGTAAAAGACTTCCGATACCGTTAGTGGTCATTTTGAAGTGCTCGCTTGGTGAATAAATTGCGAAACGCAATCCCACCTGGACCACACTCCATTTGGAACTGAACTTCGGTCATTGGGGCCGTATCTGAAGCAGATACATGTTAAGCATAGTCAGCTGGCAATTACTTTTGCAGTTGAGCCTAGCTCACTGTTAAGCTCTCCTCGTGTGCTGCTCAGGAACCCATTTGTTCGGAGAATCGGAACGTTTGGGGCCACAGTCCTCCCACTACTTGTTGAGGAATGTCACTTTAGGCCTGGTCGTTATGATGGCCCTAATCCGTGCGAACGATATGACTGGCACAAGCACTACGGATCTCGCGAAACTTGTACCCCGAACGAGATTAAACGCAAATGTGAATACTCGCGAGATAAACGATAGTCACGCTGCCAACCGCTTGTCACCCACTCGTCTAACTCCAAGAGGAGACGCTTTCGGAAAGGTGATTACACGGTTGCATTGCTTCACTTTTATACTTAGGGATAATTAATCACAGTCCACTCTCATTCAGCAGGCTTTGGCAAGTCTGGAAAAGCATCAGACCTTTCGGATCTCGTCAGTAGTGCGCCTTCCATCGGACCCCTTCCGGGTTCCGACCCCATTACTTCCGGTTACCAGCAGCCAGTGCCACTAAAATCCACCCGTCCCTATAGCTCCTACGTGCTGTGTGGTACACAGTCGCTATGCGAAATATCCTAGCTCCTAGGGCTAACAGCTGTTCTCTGCACAGTTCGTAACTGGCATGGCATTAGCAGATGAGCCGGGCTATATCATAGTCAACTGTGAATCATGCATGTTCGCGGCCATCACCAGTGGCACAAACTTTTGGCATCCGAAAGTCATGGGGTCGGAATCCGGCAGGGGTCCGATAGAGGGCGCACCACTGACGAGACCCAGAAGCTCTAAACAGCGCTGTCTGGTGCTTCTCCGGGTTTGCCAAACCTTGCTGTCTGAGACTGGTGGACTGCGTTGAATTATCTCTGTTGATACTAAAATCTTCACTGCTTTTTAGTGCTTTTTCATTTTATTCCAATACCGGCGGCACTCTGAAGACGAATGCAAGAAAAGGAGAGAAGAATTGTATCAGTAAATCATGGGCGTGTATGTGGTAACAAAATTCACGCGCAACGTGTCGGAGTAAGTGAAGTGTGGACGTGTCAAACATGAGTGTAGGTGTGTCTATACCATTTCCGAGTCAAGTTAGTTAACAGAGGAAAACGACGGCGTCTGACCAATGAGGTAGCTGCTCGACGGTGCGCGTGTGCACCTAAGCCAAACTTTGAAGCGTACCTACTTGAAAATGCTTATGAACCAAGTGGAAAATGCTTAGGAACCAAGTTGAAAATGCTTACGAACCAATTTGTTTCCTCTATTAACTAATTTGACTCGGAAATGGTATAGATTGTTCACTCACAAAAGTGCGATCACAACTTGTGCGACCTTTCTGAAGAACAAGTGATCCTCATAACGAAATCGCCGCTACCTGACTACTCGCAATGATGGAACTCCAACTGAGTTTTGAAACTACAGTGCATCATCAGTCAGATCGTGAATATGACTTATATTCACGATTCGTTATCGTTTTATTTACGCAATATGCATATTGAATCGATGTGTTTTGCTTGCACACAAGCACAATGGGTATGGATTCTTAACACACACGAAAAACGGCTCTCAGATGAATAAACCCGATACTGTACCACTACTGCTAGTAGTATTTTTTGACCGTAATATTCATCCAACTCTCGTGGTCTGCGGTTCATGTGCTGTGGCAAATTTCTAAACACAAGATGGTCCAAATAAGCCCCATGGTTCTTCACCGATGTTAAATGGGCCGCCACTTGCGTGGAATAAAGAACGGATAACGTCGTGCTGCACAATAATCGGTGCAGATGGACAAGTTTATCGAGAATGTTTCCTTAGAGGCGTTTCCGGATCGACTAATTACTTTTTTCACGAGTTTTGTGCTTGTCCATTGGTGGTACAATTGGATCAGTTGTTCTGCTTCCAACAGGTAGTCTGTGTGCCCTACATCGACGCATCTGTCTGGGCATAGCGAAAGGACGCGAGTAGTGGGCTACCTCGGCTACAAAAACAGCAAGATTTGGTGCGTTACATGTGACAGCTCGTAATTACCAACGATCATTTTGCCGTGTCCATTTTTTGACATTAGCTACTAGGTATCCTTGTTGTATTCCGAATAGTATTTAGAAACCGCTTTTTCTGAGAGCGGCTCATCGCTTTCCTTGACATCAATACAGTCTCTAACCACATAATTGAACTGCACCTCGCATCGCCGAAGAATATACCATTTATTTATTTTATTTACTTGTTGACTGCACCTGATTGCTCACTTCTTATTAGCTTGCGCAACCCATTGTGTCATATTGTAGTGTCGCAAAAAGTAACGATCGCGCGGAAGACTAGAAAGCCATAAAAGTGAGCGGGAACAGAAACAAGCGTAAGCATCATGGACGAAACCGGACAGCGCATCGCAAGCCCCACAGAACCAGTGGAGAGCGGATCGCGAGCGACGAACGGTAGCGGGCCTGAGCCAAGGAGAATTGATAAGGTATTTGTCAAAAGGCTAATAAATCAGACAGAAACACCTTTTCTGGTGTATCCAGGGGCAATTGCAAGCAGAGTAATGTAACCGCGATCAAGCTAATCAAGAGCCTTGGAACAACCCCGGGCTGGTCAGAATGCGATTTTCGGAGCCGAAGCTACGGGGTCAAACAGGCAGCTTAGACCTACCAAGTTGCGGCGGAACGACACACGAATGTGACAAGTAGTGATTTTCCATGTGTGGTGCGTTGTTGGGACGAAAACGTGACCGACGTATGTGCGCGTGCGTTACAGGTTGGTTAACTGTGGTAGCGCGCAGTAAGCTGCTGACACGCGGTGAAAGCAGCTGGTGGTCATGGATTCGACTCCTGACCGATCCGATGGATGCGCACTACTGAGGATGGCCAACAGGTTAGAACTGCAATCTAGTGCTTCGCATTAGATGAAACAAACATCAAAAGGGAAATGGACACGAAGTAAGGAATATCGCATATCGTATCAACCTAGAAACAGTGTTTTCATAGACTTTAAACATCCTATCCACCATACAGGGTGGTGTATTCTCCTTTAAAGTACCTTAGCTGATAGGTAGCTATCCGTGGAGCGTCTGATTGCACTTTATCCAAACCGATTATGCATGTGACTGATCAACCCTATGCACTACAGTACTCCCTAACCTACCGGTATTCGTTGTGTGGAAACAGTTGTAATCTAATTTTCTCTCTGTGTGTGTGGGTGGTCATTTGTGCCATCCTTGCTGCAAATACGCTTGCGGGACACCTATGAACTCGCAGAAGTCGGTGGTTCCTAGCGAATCTGGTTCTCGATATGCCCCGGTGATAATTGGTGGCGTTTTCAACTTCATAAGGAATCTTCATCTCTGAGGTTCTCTTCAGTCACTCAATATATAACGTGGTAGTGCTACCGCTACTGAACTCACACTACCATGGTCCAACCTGATACAGAACAACGAAAACGTTCATCTGCGTCCCTTCGATGAAACCTTTGTTACTTTCCAGTAGTATATTACATTCCCGATATTTTTTGAGGGTGATGCGACAGGGGAATTTTCTTCATTAGGCATCGACCACCACACAGTATCTACAGCCAAGGGCCGCACGCACTGTTTCGCAAATCCGCCCGCAAAGTGGACTTCGCACTTCGTGGTGCCTTTGATCAATGTGAATGCTAACTGTCCCTAGGAATGAGTCCCTATGTTACTGGAAACGTCCTGTGGCAGAAAAGCAGTATTTGATAACAAAGTCATATGTCCGAATTACCCCATGGCTGCCACTCGTTCGCTCCTTTTAGTAACTTCTAGCGACTGTAATGCGATAGTTTGGAGGACGCGTTTCGTATGTCAGACAGTAAGCTGGCACCACCAATCGGCATACAATGTAATCTTTGCCATCTGTCCATAGCTGATTCCATGCAACCAACGATCTAGAGCGGTCGATCACTATGCTTCTGCAGTTCCACTTCCTGTCTTACGTGGGCTTTCCTCAACAACTAGTGGACTTCCAGAATGCCACACCGACATAATTTTTCCTCCCTTCGGGTATCCCGGATACGGAACGATCTTCCAGCTTACCTTATTTCTGATCTAGTATTTTCGTTTTTCAGTGGATAACCTGCTATCCCCATTGGCTGGTACGATATGGCTCAGAAGATCAGAAGATTAAACAGCGTGAATCAGTGTGGTTACCAGGCCTTCCTGTGATGCACCGATCGAGCGTTCTACACATGTGTTCATACGGATTGCTTGGTGGTTCCACCAAACTCGCTTTTCACGTGTCACTTTTACCTTTGGGTCTGTAATACTCACTCCGGTTATCCTATGTCACCTGCTTTTTCAGATGATACACTACTGTGCACAGTTCTTTGTAAAACACTGCGGTCACGTGTGACACATCGTACTGCTTTCTCTGGTATAGCGGTTACCAGCTTTGCAGCTGTCAACACAGTAACTTGATCCGAATTTTACAGCCGGACATCAGAATGTGATGCAATAAGCGCACAGCTGAACACTATACACAGCAGTGCCGCTGAGCTCTGATCATGGATCGGTGCGCCGATATGATGAGGTACAGCGAGGCGTCACCGCACCTGATGCACATTTGGCCACTTCAATCCCAGAAATTCGACGATTTTGCCATGCTTCTCAGCTTGTAGTGATCTTGTAAATCGTCTAAGTCGTTGGCAATGTTAATTTCGAAGAAGTATACCCAGCATCCATGCAAAGGATCTGTCAAGCAGTATGACTTTCAAAGATCATCATCTCACTTAGGAACTTGATATTAACGCGTACAGATGGTGCAAAGTGTGAGATTGAGTATCAAGACTAGTAACACACCAGTATGTGCACATGAAGGAAGTGCCGCACCGGTATGCCTTATTTGGTCCACAGGCTAACAAGGGTCTAAGTGTCACCATGCATCCATCAAAAGTTGATACGTACCTCGAGATTGTGACTGGCGTTGAGCGACTTCGCCATGTAGGATATCCATGAAGAAGTCCGGAGGGTTGTTGTGGTTTTCACACACGTAGCCTGAAACAGAAGCCTTAGTTCGTTTTAGCAAAGTCAAGATGATGGAGATTTTCAAATATTTCATTGAGAAGAACTCACCGAGATTTAGGCAGTATCGAATCGGCTCGTATTTGGCTGGACCGTGGTAGACAATTCGACCGCGAAATAGCAGTGTGAGTGAACTGAAGAGCTTGTAGATGGAATATTTGGGCTGATGTATGGAAAAGATGATGGTTCGCCCTCTGCGCGCTAAGCTGAAACGAAATCGATAAATTTCAGTCGGTGGCTTTTCTTTCTCATTGCACAACAGTCACGGGATGAAAAATGATCAAGCCGACCGCATGAGAAAGATATCTCCAGGTAACTATAGTTGCTTGTTATCGTGTGTACCTGTTTCACGATTGCAACCACACTGAAGTGATGGTGATCACGTGCAATCGGTTACGCGTGCCATTCATTTCAACACATTTTTTATCGGTCATCTCATCAGTGCGTCGGTGAGACGATGATATCTTACATTTTATGAGGCAAGTTTAATCAGCCCACGTAAGTGAGCGAACGGTTTTCCACTTTCGGTTTCTTACTTAATGGTTATAAGTGTTAGTGCATATAGAGAACAGACCGGTAAAAAACTGAACCACACGGCATAACCATCGTGCAATTTGTCGCGTACGCGCAGCATCTGGGGTCGAACAACCACGGCACTCCTCAAGTGGGCTAGTCGGATGCCAGAAGATCAGACTACCCCACAAGATTTCACCCTGACCTTAACGATTGTTGTACAAGTACTCACTGAGATCACACTTCGATAGCGAACGTCACTCACATTCCAATGTGGTTTTATTAAGCCCAGTAAAAACACATGGTGTGCACAAAATTAGCCACTGAGAGAACCGTTCTTTCCAGCCTCGGACAACCTTCACTTGCAGACTGCAATGTTATCCCGATTACCGGAGTAAAACGGAATGATAAAGACAGTTTGGTTGTCTTCTTTTTGCCGTGTTATCGGCAGTAGCTCGGTCCCAGTTTCATTGGCCAAATCAGTACACCGACTGGCTACTGTGGTTGACTGTACAGAAGACTGACTTTCAGTGAAACAATATCATGGCCACTCAGCAAAACAGCATTTGGGTCCACCGAATGCAAAGTACGCCAGTTGGATTAATACCGGTACCCAAATATGACACAGCAATCAAGAAATTGCTTGATGCACCCTGGGCTAGTGAATATTCAGCTACAGACAGTGAAATCCACGACGCGTTTCGACTTTGTTTGATATCACCAGGTAGAAATAGTGGGTTCCGAACGAGGGACAATTTAGGTCTAAGTTGGGACCTCTACCGCTTTAGCCACGACAATAAAGTTTGATAAGTATGACACCACAACTTAGGCCTCCCGGTGTCGGCGCATCTGCGCGGTGTTGTACGATCGCCCCGCGTTCTTTAGTGACGTGATCTGGGCAACACTGACTATGACGCGGCAGAACTTATCTGATTATGGTTGAGCAGGAGGGGGTTACAGATTCCGGTCAACTCTCACGCTTGGTAGTCAATCACTGTTCATTTTCTCAGGTAATTTTCGCATTAATACCTTTTACATAACAATTGGTGTCATCAGAGTGCATTCGACCAGTGCGGAGGAGGGGTAATTATGTATTACCCAAGCAACCTACAGTGCGAGGCCGTTGAGAATTCACTTACAGTTCGCCGATTTTCTTTAGTGCCGTCTGCAGTTACATGGTAGAGAGACCTGTATTATAGCTTTGGTATACCGCCCCCCAAACTCTACACCGGAAATGAACTGCCAACTTGCGACAGCTTTAAGATGCAGCCTGAAGCGAAAGCACACTCACATCCTTATCATGGGTGATTTCAAGGTACACTGTTTAGAAACTCCTGCTACAATCGGAGAGCCATTCAAAGCAGATCTGCAAGAGCTTAAAACCAGTTTTCCACTTTAGAATCATGTCATTACGCCCACTCGTTTCAGAACTGGTAATAGACTTTCTTCGCTGGACCTTGTGTTTACCAACGTGGAACATATGATTGATGTATTGATGGTAGAAATGCCCTTTGGGTCGCAGTGATCATGCACTTATCAGTTTCGACTTCATCTGCTATGCGGAATACCGTAACCAGAACCCTGAGTTGGTGCGCACCATTACGCGTTACGACCGTTTAGCCCAGTTTGTCAGGGCCACAAACCGGTCGTTCCTTGCTGAAGGCCATCCGGAAGTCGTTTGGCTTGAACTCGTCAGCAAATTCAATCAACTGGTTACGGATGCCTCAGACAAGGGTTTGCAATAGACCCAACACCGTTTCTTTCGTGAGGAGCAAAACTCGAAAATGTTTGACTATACGCGACGCAGCCTGGCGAGTATACAGATCATCACTGACGCCAGATAATTGAGACAACGTAGTCCATCGTAACCACTGCACTCAACTGCTTAGATACGACAAAGTTGCATATCAGCATCACATGGCGAAAACTTTCAGCGCTAACCACAAATTACTGTACAAGTATGTCAATGGCTGTCGTAAGGTGAGGCAGGGAATTCCTCAGCTCCTGACGACTGATAGTTCAACTAGAACAGCCATAGAAGCAGCAAACGCGTTGCGGACGCAATATGCTCCCACATTTTAGAGTGTCTTACCATAAGGCCATCTTCCAACATTTGTTTTCTTTCCCCCAGAACTTACCCACATCTCTTTTACTGCCGAAGCTGTTTTGCGGAAGCTGACGTCTCTGCGCAACCACAGCTCCTCGGGACTCGACACCATTCGCCCAGAGGCACTAAGAGCAGCGGCAAGACAACTGGCAGAACTTTTGGCACAATTCTTTCAGCGCTGTTTAGACCAGAACCAAATTTCTGTGATGTGAAAACTTGAAATAATAACTCCGATTCACAAAGGCAGAAGCAGGACTGAGCCTTCAAACTACCGCCCATTGTCCTTTCTCTCTGTACTATCCAAGGTCACGAAATCTATCCTTGCCGATGCGTTAATGTGTTATCTAGAAAATTGTAACCTTATTGCTCCCGAGCAACACGACTTTCGTCGATAACCATCATGCACAATGAATTTCTTAATTGCAAGGAGTAGTTGGGCCTAGCCAGCTAACGCTGGAGTGGTCTTTGATGTGATCTACTTGGATTTGTCGAAGGCATTCGATTGTTTAGGTCATCGGATTCTCCTTTCCAAGCTCCATTTACTACGAGATCGGTGACCCTCTCTTGAGCTGCATCGCCAACTTTCTCCTGCAACGACGACTAATGGTGAGAGTCCGGAGTTCCCCCATCTGAACCCATACCAGTCGAATCCGGTGTACCCCACGGCTCAGTTCTAGGTCCACGGTTGTTTTTGACATTCATCAATGAACTTGCACGGAAAATCAATTCAAATTTCCTGCTCTTTGCTGACGATCTCAAGATATGGCGCCGGATTCAAGCGGATGCCCATCAGCACTTACTTTACTTTACCCTACATACGGTACGTGATTGGTTAACCCGTAATCTGTTACAGTGCAACATGGACAAATGCAAGGTACTCTCCATACGATACCAGAGTACCTATAAGCTAGTTCATATAAGCTAGGAACGCAAGTACTGAAGCAGTCATCCGTCGAACGCTATCTTGGCGTGCTTGTTCAGGTTAAGTTATTCCAAGCAATCTGCAAAGGCCTCGAAAACTGGTAACCAACACATTGGGTTGCTACAACGAGGCTTCGGACAACTAGACACCCCTATTTTCAGACAGATGCTGAATGCGTATGTTCGCCCCCATGTCGAATACGCAATCCAAGCCTGCGAGCCGTGGCTGAAGCACCATCTTACTGCACTGGACCAATCTCAACGTCGGGCTTCTAAATGCCTCATCGGAATGCGCCACCTTCCGTACGAGCAGAGGCTGAAACGTTTGGGAGCATTCAGCGGGCGGTATCGCCGACTACGAGGCGACTTGATTATGACATAGTTGATTTTACACAATCCAAATCATGTGTGCCGCTCTTTACTGCAACTCAGCAGTAACACAAAACTTAGAGGCCACTCCTTGAAATTAGCAGAACAGTACAGCCGTCTGGCGTGCCGTGGAAACTTCTTTTCCATTCGTGCGTGTCAATCATGAAACGCTCTCCCCGAATCTGTTATTTCAGCACCCACGCTAGCCATATTTAAAAGTCGGTTGAATGACATACTCCGCCAGTTACATTTCGTTACTTGACGCTACTCTCCATCCTAATCTCGGGAAATACCTTGGATTTCCTTTTTCGCCTTTTGAAGCTATGGAAACACTCGGAGTACAGGGTTACTGCACCAAAAACGATAAGTCCATTATTTTGACAGTAAAACTAACTGCTTTTTATTAACGTTTTTCGCTAACCCGTCAGACCTCCCGACGGGGTTTGTAAACCAATGCTTCTTAACCCGTATAAAATCATTGTTCACTGTATGGTTTGGATGATCGTATGCTTTGTAGACAGCAGCGTAGATGTTTATTCCATACACGTGTGCAGTATGCAGTGGGACGTCTAGGTGCGGCTACTTGCTGACGGTTCACGTGGTCTCTATAGTGACTTCTTTCTGCAATAAGAAGCCGCTTCTCCGATAATGTTATTATTTACTTTGTATTGGTTACTACCAATAGATAGTTGCTTTGAATAGCTGTAATAAACATGTGGAATTGATCACAACCCAGATTGGAATCAAGTGTACGGAAGGCTATTGTATCTTCATCTCATTCGTACGGGAGTAAATAGTTGGGTCGGCTAAAATCATACTGGACCAGTGAGTTTACGTAGCTCGAACGAGACGATCACAGAACGCATTATGCAGCACCAGCATAGTTGAACTGCCACCATGTGTTACCGTATGCCTCATATTCAGGTTCCGTTCAATAGGCGGAATTGGAACTGTCTGCGCTTCAGATTCCGCTTCGAATACTGGCTTCAGGGCAGTGTCAACCATTGTCGGTGGAGGAGCTGGAGCGCGGTCTTCGTTCAAACGCTAGGCTCAAAATCAGTTTCAGCACGGAATTGAATAAGGTTCAGCCACCGCCCGTTTATTTGGCTATCAATCATCGATCCGGCTTGGATCGAGTGAGTGTTGTGGAGCATATCACGATACCGCCGCATTCACGTTCACCGTCGTGACCTCAGCGTGATAACGAAGGTGGCTGCGAACGCACAGGTGATGCATGGTTAGGAACGTGAGTCTACTCCAAAACGAAGGCGCCCCTGCCGGTTTAATTCCTCAGGA